GTCTACCCTCTTTCAGTTTAAAACCATTACCCCTTGTCCTATTGCAACAGGCCCTACTAAAAAGTTTGTCCCCATCTTTCTTATAAGGCCCACTTAAGTACTGAAAGGCTGCAATAAGGTCTCCCCAGAACCTTCTCTTCTCCAGGCTGAACAACGCCAACTCTCTCAGCCCTTCCTCATAGTAGAGGTGTTCCAGCCCTCTGGTCATTTTCACGGCCCTCCTCTGGACCCACTCCAACAGGTCCATGTCTTTCCTGTGCTGAGAGCTCCAGAACTGGATGCAGTACTCCAGGTGGGGTCTCACCAGAGCAGAGCAGAGGGGCAGAATCGCCTCCCTCAACCTGCTGGCCACACTTCTTTTGATGCAGCCCAGGATACGATTGGCTTTGTGGGCCGTGAGCGCACATTGTCAGCTCATGTCCAGCTTTTCATCCACCAGTACCCCCAAGTCGTTCTTGGCAGGGCTGCTCTCAATCCCTTCATTCCCCAGCTTGTATTGATACCAAGAGTTGCGCTGATTCAGGTGCAGGACCCTGCACTTGGCCTTGTTAAACCCCAAGAGGTTCATACGGGCGAACTATCAAGCTTGTCCAGGTATTTAACAGTACTGGTCCCAATACAGACCTCTGAGGGACACCATTTGTCACCAATCATCACCAATGACATTGAGCAATTGACCACTACCCTCTGGATGCAACCATCCAACCAATTCCTCATCCACCGAACAGTCCACCCATCAAATCCTTATCTCTCCAATTTAGAGAGAAGGATGGAGGACTGTGTCTTACAGAAGGCCAGATAGACAACATCCATAGTTCTTCCCTTGTCCACTGATAGAAGGCCACTAGTTTGGTCAGGCAGGACTTGCCCTTGGTGAAGCCATGCTCGAATCACTTCCCTGTCCTCCGTGTGCCTTAGCACTGCTTCATGGTTAGTTCATAGCTAGTTCATGGTCAGAGGAATGCAGTACTAAACCTCTTTTTATTTCAATCAATAAGATAAAATACCTTAATTTACATAAGATAGTAAGGTATGATCATACCAATCAATAAAATAAAACAGACGATTAGAGGTTACAAGGCATTCAAGCCGGATTTTTAACCTTTTGCCATTCAAGCCAGATTTTTAACCTTTTGCCTTGTACTTGCCTTGCCAGACAGGCAAATTTTGAATCTCTTGTAATTTTCACACAATCTATGTAAAGCTGAATTGAACCTTAGCACATCTACCCATCTATCTACTACATTCAGCTTTTTTATTATGCATATTTTTATTCCAGTCTTCAAATATTTCCTTCACGATTTTAAATTAAATATTACTCTATACACCACTAGAAGTATTATGACTAATTGATATGTCTATACTTCCCCAAAGTCTTACTAAAATAATTCCAGTACTCCAGATTTCAGGTAGCAGAGGTAGATAAACAACCAGACATTTAACTGGGTACTTAATAATAAGAGCAATATCTAAATGCATTTCAAAAATATCAATGGTGACGATATAACAAGAAGTCATCAACATGGACTTAAACGTTTTTCTTGATATTGTTAGAAGTTTACTTGTCCATTTTTAAGGAATCTAAAAATATCTGTTGTTCCTCAACTAATTTGCTTGTTATTATTGGTAAAATATTGGTTAAAAACATGGTATTATTACTATGTTTTTCAAAGATGGATCACTGGGGTTGGGATCACTGAAAACTTCAAATCTGAAGATGATGATGCCTCTACACAAATGCACTTAGCACGGGGAATAAAGAAGAGTGAAGAGACATGCACACACCTTAAGAACTATGGTCTTACAGGCATCATGGAGACATGGTGGGATGGCTCCTATGACTGGAGTGTGGTAATGGAAGGATACAGGCTCTTCAGGAAGGACAAGCAGGGGAGATGAGGAGGGGGTGTTGCCCTCTGTCAATGACCAGCTGGAATACATGGAGCTCTGCCTGGGGATGGATGAGGAGCCGACCAAGAGCTTATGGGTCAGGATTGAAGGCAGGTCAGGGACAGGTGGCATTACACTGGGGGTCTGCTATAAGCCGCCTGACCAGGGAGACTGAGCAGATGAGGGCCTCTATACACAGACAGGAGCAGCCTCATATTTATAAGCCCTGATCCTGATGGGACCACCCTGATATCTGTTGGAGAGACAACACAGCATGGCATAAGCAATCAGGAAGTTCCTGGAATGCATGAATGATAACTTCCTTCTCCAAGTGACAGAGGAGCCAATGAGGAGAGGTGCTATGCTGGACCTTGTTCTCAGCAACAAGGAGGGGCTGGTGCGGAACGTGAAGCTCAAGGGCAGCCTTGGCTGCAGTGACCATGAAATGGTGGAGTTCAAGATCCTTAGGGCAGTGAGGAGGGCGCACAGCAAGCTCACTACCCTGGACTTCAGGAGATCAGACTTTGGCGTCTTCAAGGATCTGCTTGGTAGAGCACTACGGGATAAAGCCCTGGAGGGAAGAGAGGTCCAAGACAGCTGGTTAATACTCAAGGATCACCTCCTCCAAGCTCAGGAGCGATGCATCCCAACAAAGAATAAGTCAGGCAAAAGTGCCAGGAGGCCTGCATTGATGAACAAGCAGCTCTTGGACAAAATCAAGCACAAAAAGGAAGCTTATAGAGGGTGGAAGCAAGGACAGGTAGCCCAGGTGGAATACAGAGAAAATGTCCAAGCAGCCAGGGATCAGGTTAGGAAACCTAAAGCCCAGACAGAGTTAAATCTGGCCAGGGACATAAAGGGCAACAAGAAAAGCTTCTACAGGTACATCAGTGAAAAAAGGAAGACTAGGGAAAATGTGGGCCCACTCCAGAAGTAAACGGGAGACCAACTCACCCTGGATATGGAGAATGCTGAGGTACTCAATAACTTTTTTTCCTCAGTCTTCACTGGCAAGTGCTCTAGCCACACTGCCCAAGTTGCAGAAGGCAAAGGGAGGGACTGGGAGAATGAAGAACTTCCCACCATAGGAGAAGATCATGCTCGAGACCATCTGAAGGTGCACAAATCCATGGGACCAGATGAGATTCATCCACGGGCCCTGAGGGAACTGGCCGATGAATTTGTTAAGCCACTATCCGTCATATCTGAGAAGTCATGGCAGTCTGACAAAGCTCATGCTGACAGGAAAAGGGGAAACATAACCCCCATTTTTAAAAAGGAAAAAAAGGAAGACCCAGGGAACTACAGGCCAGCCAGTCTCACCTTTGTACTCAGCAAGATCATGGAGCAGATCCTCCTAGAAACTATACTAAGGCACATGGAAAATAGGGTGGTGATCAGAGACAGCCAACATGGCTTCACTAAAGCCAAAGCGTGCCTGACAAATTTGGTGGCCTTCTACAATGGAGTTATAGGGTTGGAGCATAAGGGAAGAGCAACTGACATCATCTACCTGGACCTGTGCAAAGTATTTGACACTGTCCCACACAACACCCTTGTCTCTAAACTGGACAGACATGGATTTGATGGATGGAGCACTCAGTGGATAAGGAACTGGCTGGATAGTTGCACTCAAAGAGCTGGGGTCAACAGTTCAATGTCCGAGTGGAGAGCACTGATGAGTGGCGTTCCTCAGGGGTTGGTACTGGGGCCAGTGCTGTCTAACATCTTTGTCAGCAACACGGACAGCGAGACCAAGTGCAACCTTAGCAAGTTTGCTGATGATACCAAGCTGAGTGGTGCAGTCGACATGCTGGAAAGAAGTGATGTCATCTAGAGGGACCTGGCCAGGCTTGAGAGGTGGGCCTGTGCAAACTTCATGAGGTTCAACAAGGCCAAGTGCAAGGTCCTGCACGTGGGTCGGGGCAATCCCAAGCATAAATACAGGCTCAGTGGACAATGGATTGAGACCAGCCCTGACGAGAAGGACCTGGGGGTGTTGACTGATGGGAAGGTCAACATGAACTGGCAATGTGAGCTCGCAGCCCAGAAAGCCAACTGTATCCCGGGCTGTCTCCAAAGAAGCGTGGCCAGCAGGTCAAGGAAGGTGATTCTACCCCTCTAATCTGCTCTCATGAGACCCCACCTGGAGTACTGCATCCAGCTCTGGGGTCCCCAATATAAGAAGGACGTGGACCTGTTGGACTGAGTCCAGAGGAGGGCCACAAAGATGATCAGAGGGCTGAAGCACCTCTCCTATGACAAAAGGCTGAGAAAGCTGGGATTGTTCAGCCTGGAGAAGAGAAGGCTCCGGGGAGACCTTATAGCAGCCTTCCAGTACTTAAAGGGGGCCTACAGGAAAGATGGAGAGGGACTCTTTATCAGGGATTGTCGTGATAGGACCAGATGTAACGGTTTTAGACTGGAAGAGAGTAGATTTAGATTAGATATTAGGAAGAAATTCTTTACTGTGAGGGTGGTGAGGCACTGGAACAGGTTGCCCAGAGAAGCTGTGGATGTCTCACCCCTGGAGGTGTTCAAGGTCAGGTTGGATGGGGCTTTGAGTAACCTGTTCTAGTGCAGGATGTCCCTGCCTATGGCACGGGGGCTGGAACTAGATGATCTTTGAGGTCCTTTTGAACACAAACCATTCTACGATTCTGTGATGATTATCTTCTGCTTACCTATATATTTTAAAGGCTTTCACTTATCAGCATCCTCTGGTATTACAATGTCACCCAAGGAATACAGTTCATCAGTTTTTCACTGAAACATTACTAAAAAAGACTTGTGCACACTAGTAACAGTGGCCATTCTTGAAATTAGCCTTTTCTTTCTAACTGTTTCTTAATCACACCATAGTCAGCAAAGAATTTTTTTCCAGAAATCACCACTAACATTTCCTACAGATTTAGCACATTTGCTTTATTTTTCTAAATTCTTTAATGTGGTGAATGGTTTTGAACACGTATTATCCTTTCAAAATGCTGATTATGTAACCTAAATAACATCAGGAACTGAACTGCATAGAAAAACTTACATGTAAAAGAATACAGGAGTTAGAGGGGAAAAAAATCCTATATCCTAAGAATACTTAACCTGTAGCTTACCGGTCATAGTCTCCATTACACAGCGCTCTGACAGAAATCTTGAACGCCTGCCACACTGGATTTAATGTATTTTTTATGACTTCTGTTTTGTGGCAGATTGTAAAACTGCAATAAAAAAAAAGATATATTTTGTATTTATTTATTTTTTCTTTTGTGTCATCAAACATGGAATCAAAAGAGCTGTAATCTGTATTCACTCATACAACATCCACATAAAATTTAAGATAAGAAAAAAAGAAATGCAGTGAAATCAGAGAGAAGAGAGGACTGAAGAGGACAGACCTGTTTGAGAGAGATTATAGACTGGGGTGCTATGCAACTCTAAATCTATTATGTTTTTACCCAAAACTTCAACAAGAATTGCAATGATTCAGTGAGTTATTTCAGGCAAGAGCAGCCTCCACCCCAGTTGTTAAAACAGGCCTTGTACAAACAGGAACCAGTCACAGATCCAGAAAGAAAGCTGTCTGGTAAGGATTTGACTCTTGCTTACAGGTTAAGAAACTGAGCCAAGGGAGTCATGGCTTTCTCATTCCTGTTCCCCATTTTATGTCTATAATTTTTTTAACCAGGGGTGTCTCAGGTAAAACATATAAGCCTCTGTGAGATCCCATGATCAGCTTCTCTCAGGTGAAATACAATGAATTGTTTTAATGCATTCTGCTTTCTCCAAATGATGCAAAATTAAAATACTTCTTTCTTGGGGACTGAATTGCTCAAAAGAAAATAGGAGGCAAGGTCACTGGTGAAATCACTACTGAAAATCTACATACAGATGTAACTAAAGTTGTCCTTTGTGGGAATATCTTCCTTATGTTCCAAAGGCTTATGTTTTTATCCTGGCTATGATTCAGAAGGCATGCCTGAAGCTAAGGGACAGAAAAGGGAACATCCTTCTGCCCATGGGTGCAGAAGTACCGCCCCAACCTCCTGTTGGAATCGGGAGACCAATAAAGAATCCGTGGCTCACCACTCACTTTTCAGAAGGAAGCAGAGAAACATGGCACTCAAGGCCAAGAGAAACTGCATGTACCAGCACTCCCAGAGAAATTCCACTAATGACCTTAAGGCGACTCACAAAGGAGCCATAACTCCTCCAGGCTTGCAATTTAAGATATTCAGTGTTAATTCAGGAAGCTGTTACTATAATCTGCCTCCAAGAGGAAAAGAGCAGGGAACAAACACACATAAACCATATGTAGGTTTATGTTGACAACTGCTCCACTTAAGCTACTGAAACAAGTAATATCATACACGTCTAGCCTTTGGTTTGATACGATGTTATATGTGAGGACTATCAGTTGGCAAGAAAACTTGACCTCCCAGTAGAACCCCACGTACGCAATATGTTGACCAGAAGTTAGCATGTTACCAGCATAACAGGAGAGATTAACCTACTTCAACAAATTAGAGCATGACTGCAGCAAACAGCCACTCGTAAAAAAAAAAAAAAATAAAAATTTCTATTTAAAGTATTTTTGAATTTGATTTCCTAGAATTCAGTCAAAAAGATAAAAGATATTTCCAAATTTGCAGTATAAAATGTTTTTACCTAAAACAATTTCTAAATGTTAGCATATTCTGCAGCTATAATTTTCTTTGAGAATTCTATTTAATTTAAAGGTATACTATTTCTTAGCAAAAGTAAAGCTATTTCCCTATTTTTATTAAAATTAATTTTCATAGTGTTCTATATTTAGCATACATTCGACTCTTAAAAACCCAACTTGCAGTATCTGATCTATTAGTTACAATAGTTTTATTCCTATGCTGCATAACATGATATACTTAAATCCAGCAAACATTATAAAAGAAACACAGCTTAATCTGATAAATCCAAAAAAATGAAAACTAGTATTACCATCTGCAAATAAATAAGTTGCCTACAGTTTAGCAACAGAAATACTTAACAGGCATCTACCTGCCATCTTCATTGCTTCGATGAAATACAAGGAAAGGATCAGATTTCCCAAAGAAGTCCTTCTTGTCTAGTTTGTTCGCACAAAATTGCATTAAAACTGAATCCTGAAATGGGTAATACAGAAAAATTACATACAACATGCAGTCTACTACACTAAAATAAAAATAAATAAAAATAATTGACTAATAACCATACAAACAGATAACAAAATAAATGATGGTATCTGCATTTCAGACACTCTCTACATATTTACATTTCTGCAATGCCCTTATGGTGGAATTTGAACTGCTGGAACCAAGAATTTCTCTGTAGGGATGGTGCAGAGAAAGGTAAATTTCTGTGGTAAATGCCTCAGGTTTTTTCCCCGTATTTTCTGACATCCAAAGCTGCATTATGAGGGAAATAGAAGCTTCCGGACAAACAAGCCTGGAAGATACCAAATACACCCATTCTGATGACAAATAAGGAGAAAAGTTTCTTTGCTGTGGTCAGGCAAAATTGATAGCCACACATGGTCACCGCTTTGGGCAGAGTCAAGAACGTGAGAAGGATTATAAATGCAAAGATAAACCTGCAGACTCCCCAGCTAACTGGGGCAGGGCCTGCTGGAAGACTGTGTTCCATAAACAGGTCTACAGGTGTAACAGCAGCAAGTGGAAGACTAAGGAAAATGTGGGCTCACCAAAGAGTGGGGCAGGGGACCACGTGACAAAGAACATGAAAAAGTCCATGTTTCTCATAACCTTCTATGCCTTGGTCTTTACTGGTAAGATTTGCCTTCAAGAATCTTGGCCACCTGAGAAAGTCTGGAACAAGGATGACTTGCCCTTGGTAGAGGAGGACCAGCTAAGGGAACATTTAAACAGACTGGAGATACAGAAGTCCATGGGATCTGATAGGATGCACCTGTGCGTGCTGACAGAGTTGGCCAATGCCACTGTGAGGTCACTTTTAATTATCTTTGGAAAGTCATGATGTTCAGGAGAAGTTCCTGAGGACTGAGAGAAAGCAAACATCACTTCTGTCTTCAAGAAAGGGCAAAGAAGAGGATCCAAGCCAGTCTTTCCTCAATCCCTGAGAAGATGATAGAGCAAATAATCCTGGAAACCATTTCCAAACACATGAAAGACAAGAAGGTGGCTGAGAGTCATCAGCATGGATTTACAAAAGGGAAATTCATGCCTGATCAACCTGAAGCCTTTCCTCATGAAACGAGTGGTTCAGTGGATGAGGGCAGACTAGTGGATGTTGTTTATCTTGACCTTAAGCATGGCCTTAGATACTGTCTCCCATAATATTGTTGTTCACAAACTGATGAATTACAGGCTAGATAACTGGACAGTGGGGTGGACTGAAAACTGGATGAACTGCTGGGCTTCAAAAGGTAACAATCTGCAGCTGGTGCTGTCACTAGTGCTATAACCTAGGTGTTAAAAATGGGGCCAATAATATTTAACATCTTCATTAATGACCTGGATGATGGGACACAGTAGTCCCCCAGCAAGTTTGCAAATGATACAAAACTAGAAGTAGCAGCTTATACACCAGATGGCTGTGCTGCCATTCAGAGGCACCTGTACAGGCTGGAAAAAACAAACCAATGTGAATCTTGTGGAGTTCAACAGAGGGAAATGCCAAGTACTGTACCTGGGGGGGAATAACCCCATGCACCAGTATAGGCTGGAGGCCAAACAGTTGGAAAGCAGGTTTGCAGAAGAGGACAGGGGGGTCTTGGCAGACACTAAATCGACCAATATGCCCTTGGCAGCAAAGAAGACCAATAGCCTCCTGGGCTGCACTAGGAAGACTGCTGACAGAAAGTCGAAGGAAGAGGCTCAGCACTAGTGAGGCCAGTCTTGGGGTGCTGTGTTCGGTGTGGGGCTCCCCAGTACAACACAGACACGGACATGCTGGAGGGATTCCAGCAAAAGGGTTAAGGGATTGGATCATCTCTCATATGAGCAGAGACTCAGAGAGCTGGAAATATTTAGCCTGCAGAAGAGAAGGCTCAGGGGGATCTTATCAATTGGTATAAATACCTGATTTATACCAATTGGTATAAATACTGATACCAGTAAACAGAGTCTGCTTACTGGTACCCCATGGAAGAACAAGTGGCAATAGGTACAAACTGAAACACAGGAAATTCCATTTAAAAACAAGAAAAAAAACCTTTTTACTGTGAATATGGTGAAACACTGAAACAGAGAGACTGTGGAGTCTCCTTGGACGTGCTCAAAACCTGACTGCACAGAGCCCTGAGTAACCTGCTCTAAGAAGGGCAGAAGGGCTGGATGATCTCCCAAGGCCTCTTCCAACCTTAGCAATTCAGTGATTCTAAAAGTCTTTGCCATTCTGAGTATAAGCTATATATAAAAAAAATAAATCTCAGAAGATCAGATAAGAATTAATCCAAATACTGAATAACCTTATGTAGGAAAATATCACAGCGAAAATATGTGACAGCTGGTGACACAGCACAAGAGATTGTGTGAGAGAGTATGCACATGAAAGAGCATGACAGAGAATGCCAAAGAGTGTGCAAGAGAGAGAGATTGAGTCCCAAATTCTTTACAAGCTCCCTTTGATGATTTTGAACTAATCGTATATGTAAAATTTAAGTGGAGTGAATCTGGAAGAACATGAAGGCCTTGCAAGGCACCTACTATTTGTCTTCATTAAATGGGAAAGAAAATAAAATCCTCTTCTGATTATGGATTTAAGGACATATTTGTGACTTTTAAATAGTTTGTTACAACTGGGATACAAATGCTGGTCTTGGAGGATAAGCCCAGTATATCAGGAGAAAATTGCCTTTAGTTTCTTTTAAGGTTACCAATAAATGCTTGGGGTGATGGCAAACATCTCTTAAGAATGGTAAAAGCTTAATTTCTTAAGAAATGCGGAAGCACAATTTCTGCAGGAAAGCAATTAAATGATGTATCTATTTTGTCATCTGATAAAAGCGTCAACATTTTGATCATGTACTACATACAGAAATTTGAGCTGATGTAAAACAGAGGGGAAAGACAGGCATTTTCCATGATCATACTTATCCAACATGGGAATTTCCTACTGCTAAATGGGGGTTAAATGAGACTGAGTTGGTGCACCCTATTAACATAACCGTGCAGGACTGGCAAGTTGCCTGGAAAAGGCAATTAAGATTTGAGCCCATGTGGTATTCAAATATACCACTATACCACTTCTGCAGAGAAATAATACAAACTTGACTAAACTGGAAATAAGGCGCAAAATTAAGGATTTCTTTTTACTTCAAATATCTAACGAACCAAAGAAAATAAGGCCTAAACAGATTAGCTATTGGATATACAGGTAAAAAAAGAAGCGTGACTAGCATAAATAGAAAAAAATTAACCACTTATGATGTGGTATAAAAGTTAGAAGCTATACAAAAGGTTATATCCCCTCATTATCTCCTCAACACCACTAAATTACAAAAACTAAGCCTCAGAAACAAATCTCTTCAAGTCTCAAGGTATTTCTGTAAGGTTTATGTATCTAATCTTGTACTCTCCAGATCCCCTGTATATTCTCACCAAATGTCTGATACTATTGCTTTCTTCATTAGAGTTGCTATCTTGTCATTGCAAACTCTTCAAAGATACACCCTACAGCCCCATCCAATACCTAACCATGCTTTGACAAACCGCTCCCCTCCTCAGATTCCAATCAGACTTTATCACACCATATCTATAACCCTTCCTTATTCTTCCTTCCAGTCTCTGTTTCCCTACGATTTACGGATTGCTGCTAGCTCATTCAGTGCTGGGAAGCAACTGAGCCAGCCTGGCTGCCAGGTGCTTTCTGAGCACTAAGCCTCCTCCTCCGCCCAATCCGCTCCTCCATGAACCCTAGGATGGGGAGGAGCGGTGACACTCTTGGGGAAGGTCATGACCACACCATGTCTCTCCCCTTACCCAGCCAAATTCCCCACCGCCTCCCCTCTCCCCCAATATTCTTCTATTTTCTATTTAAAAAGTAGGCATCTGCCGTTAATGGACCAAGGAAGTCTTCACTTTCTTTAAAGGAAACTGTCTACACTCTTCTTTTACGGCTATTCTTTGAAATACCTTACTATTTTTTTTCCAATAAACATTAATTTCACATTTTTTAAATAATGTGAATCACTATAAGCATAAAGCCTTTTAATTACAAGGTTAAAAATCCAAAATTTTACTTTGATGTTCATGTAACATCAATATTATATAATGGAAACATAATTTTATGGCTGAAACAAATGGATCTGTGTTAAAAATTGGACACTAAGAGATTAAAATGTGATTAATTACTTATGGAAACAAAGACTAGATTTAAAACTCGTCTAAGAATCAAAAACTTTATGCTTCATACTGTTTTCTACTTCTACTATCTAAAACTAAGAGTAACTGATAGGAAAAAAGTATCCTAACTTCTTACATATATCACAAAATGCAGATTTATACGTTATACTTTTGACAATCTGGTGCAGTGTAAATCACAAAATCATTTCCATTTTATTTTTCAAAAAGCAATGAACACACACTTACTCGGCAACAGCCCAGCTCCTCTGCTGTTACTATGACTGTTCCACATTTCTTCCCCGGAATTCCTCTGCAAGAAAATACAACTACATCACCTCAGTTCCTTAGTATCATTTATGAAAGTTAGTACTGACACAGATGAGCACAAGGCAAGCTTTTGAGTGACAAGATTGATGACATGTTATACAGTTTCCCTTTTCTGTCACTTGCCCTGTGTAAAAAATTTGGTTTATCCTAAGTTAATTGGTAAATGAGTTGCATATTTATTCTAACTAGCAAGAAACAAATAATTTACAATTTTACAGGAAAAAGCATAAAAAGTTTAAATGGGATGAAATGACAATATCAGAAATTATGTTCCACCCACTCATTGATGTTGTATTTACAGATGATTCTACAACTTACTGATACGTGAAAAGCATCCTTTTGCAAATTTTCCTTAAACAAAATACCTAAAATATATTTAAAACTATTCACCAGCCTTATTTTACAATATTTATTTTGAAATGTTTTTGAAGACACAAAATAACCTCATCATCATATCAGATGATTATAATTCACCCAGACAGCAACTGGTGCTGCAACACCAGAAAGCACAAAACAGATCCTTGGCATAAGGAACAACATAGGAACAGAAAAGCCATACATAATCTGGTAGTATTCAGTAGCAGCAGCCTTTTGGGGCACGGGTGGAGGGAGTACAAATACTGAGATGCAACTTTTTCTATGATACTACACCATAAATGAGAAGTTCTAAATATCCTAATGTCTATTAGTGTGTCCACTAGCACACACCTTGGCAATTACTTCTAGATTTTATTTTTTTTTTTCAAAATTAATGCTATCACTTATGATCATTTCATTTCTAGTTCTTTATTTCCTTACATCTTTCTTGAAAATAATTAATTATTTTATAAAAATTACTTTCCAAGAAGACATTAAGGTAAAATTACATTTTCAAATTGACTATTTTTTAGGTTTTTCTAAGAGAACTAGAGGGCACTCCTGTTCTTCTGTTATGACAAAACATTAATGCAAACATTTACTGTTGTTCTTACTTTGCTTATTAGTTTCCTTAATCCTTTCGAATTTATTTTACAATGTTCTACAACTCTGAGTAAGTTTAGCAAGACTTTGGTATAACAAAGAACTGGTGGGAAAATAGTTCTTAGAAGCAGATAAAAGTTCAGAAATTATGAATAGAGAAGCAAATACTGATGCAAATTTAAGCAAGCTCACGGACACTCTTGTTTAGAGGTTGATGTTTAAGTCTATAACAAATACATCAGGGACCGCTGCTCCTATACCGCTGCAGTCATTTGCTAGTAATCAGAGAGATACATGACTGCTCTCCTGGACCTCTTCAGTGCTACATGGTAGGTCTGAATTTCACACGGAAAACAGTGTATAGGGAAAACACTCAAGTTTTTGTTGTGAAATTTTAAATGATTATTTAAATACATACAAAGCTTATGGCAATCCTCCACTTAATGCAGTATGACTTATAAAGTACAATACTTTAAGACCAAACAGAAGAATTTTCTTCAAATAACAGAAAAAAAAAAAAAAAGAATGTGGTCATTTCATGTGTTACACAGTACAATTCTCAGTTTTCTCAGTGTCTTCAAATCATAGTTTTAAATCTGTCACTCTTCCACAGCTCAGGACTGAAAATTACCCATTTTATCCTCTGTGGCAAAGGGATATTGAAATTAAAATCAAAAGATGAAAAAAAATGTGTTTTTTCTTTTGAACAGTACTTCTTGGTAGTAACAGCAGCAGTAGAAATAATTAGTTATTAGGGTGATATTAACCTTACATGGTAAAATGTTTCAAGGAACAAATGACCATGACCCTGGCTTTGACAGGGAAGGAAGAAATAGAAGTCTCAGAAGTGTAGCTAAAAGACCAGAATTCCCAGCACCACAATACTGTAGGTTATGCAAACTCAAATGAAAAGCACCGATATCAGAATTACCACTACCTGAACCAAAATTCTTCCTACTGAAGTATTTAAGCCCAGTTAACTATGCCATTGGGGACATATTTGAGACTTAGTCTGGGCAGTGGCAGTACATTAACGAAAAAGCATCAAACATTTCTTTTGGTATGAAAAGTGAAATAGATTTATCACACTTCCAGAAGATTATTGTGTCAGATGCTTGACTGTCAAAAATACAACTCTTATCACCTCCTGAAGAGCTGGAGGCTTGAAGTAAACTGATGAGAAGCAAGCTCCATTTCTGACAAACTGGTCACCAAACAGTTGCCGTTTGATAAGAGAACCTTGTGCCACCCCGCCTGCTGTCATAACACATGGCAGTCAACACCTGCCTGTCTCACACAGAGATTTGCACATTAAGACATTTATGCAAAGACATGCTTCATTTCATCTTATGAACATGAAGGCCAAGGGATGCCCAACCCCAAGAGATACATGTGTCTGGAATTATCACCCTGAAGGATGGAGCAAACTGGAGAGGCAATCCCCTGAAGACATTTGGGTGGCTATGTCAGAAAAAAGAAGAAAAAAAAAAAAGGAATTCTTTATTGTTGAGTAGACATGAAAAGTACATGCAGTATAGTCATATCTGAAAGCACTTGGGGTAAGCTTTGGTTTGATGTATCACCAAGGTTCTTGAGGACACTTGCCCTATAAAAGGATAGTATTACCATGACAGCTGGTGAAGAGGTGAAATGCTTAATTGAGATTAGAACAGAATTACTCTACAGAACAAAAAGTTTTTATTATTCAGGAACTAAAACTCTACCCAATGACCTCTACAGTTCGTGATGTTATTAAGTACAAACTTTGTATGCTTGTCTTGAGACTACAGGCATGAAAAAAGTACCAGACAATTTGCAGACACTAAAGAGCTTGTTCTCTTATAAATTCCCTTACAAACCATTCATTAAGAAAAAAATCCTTAAATGTAAAGCCAGCACCCTGACAAAAACTTCAGTGGTCACAGATCAGCCAAATGGAAAGACCTTGAACTGGCAATAAAGCCTTGTGAGAAAATAACAAAATAATTTCAAGCTGGTCTTATCACTGTATGAAACCATTACTTGGAGTTTTAGCATTACAGATCAGTCCTTCCAATTGCCAGGAAGTACTGACAAATGTTACCTTGAAGATGAGCATGTAAGGGTTCCACCTGTTTAAATCCAGAATGCAGTGCCACTGCCCATCTTGTTTAGCTTTAAGGAATAGCTGGTATTGAGCTGCCCTGGAATTCGTTCTATAGCACTGAAGTGACAATACAGAATTTATGTATTTCTCAGGGTAAGCTTCTCTGGAGACAGTTACGGATCAGGGTCTGTGGGGTAATAATGAAGCACTCTGTACTGCATAACCACTGTCAACTCCACCACTCAGTGCTAGTTATCTGACACTCGGATATAGAAAATGTGCCAGTCTAAGTGTGAATAGGGTGCAAACTGAATAAAGGAAGGTAAAATGTGAGGAAGATCCATGTTTCAGTGGGCCCTACTGGCTTGAGAGCCCAAACTCTGCAGGTATTCTACAGTGATCACTCCTTTTTGGACAGTATTTGAGGGAGCAAATAATTTGACTGTTAGAGGAACCAAACAGAAAACCATCATCAAATGAAAAGTCCTCAACAATACCTGGATGTCTTTAGACAAGATATGGTCTCAAGGAGTAATTAGTGTCTCCTTCAAACAAATGATTCCATGATTGAGCCACCACATCTGCAGCACCCAGAGAAGTTTGAAAGGACACTCTGTAGACCACTTGGGCTTTAACAAGGACTGAAAGGTAGACCTTTCCACAGTTTGTGAAAAAAGTTGGAGAAAGATGACAATTTGTGTGGGAATTCAAACCTGAGAGGTTAAACAGAGCCTCCAAATTTGCAAGCTGAAACTGCAATGAGGCAGAGGATGGAACATTTTTCAGGTCACTGAAAAATTTAGTCTTAGCCCTGAATTTACAGAACCTAGCCCTCTGGCAGTCACAACCACAGATAAGAGGATAGGACAAATATATAGGAAGTCCCAGTTCCAGGCTTCAGATGTTTTTCTATCAATTATGTTCACAGCAAGATGACAGGAGAAAGAACTTCCCAAAATAGGCCAGCTGGCTCCAGTACAGCCTCATTAGCAGGCAATGGCACTCAGATGTGCATAACTAGCATAGAATGCTCATTAAGCTTTGTAACAGCTCTGCCTCCTCATTAAAGGGAATCCCTACAGGAATGCACTTAGTAGATCCTGAAAGAAGCATTGCTCAGAGTTACAAACTTCTCTCTAGGAAGACAGAACATGCAAATACCTAATTCTGAATAATGTCTGGGAAGGTGATGCTTTCTTGAGAGAAAAATAAAGCTGTGTCATTTCTGGAAGTAGGTACATCTGCACCTCACAGTTTCATCCTAACACCACTAGGGCATACAATGCCAGTCTGAGCAAATCTTACACACCGAGCTTCTCTTGAGAGGGCATTTAATGAATCTAGTAACCTACCAGGTAAAGAGAGTAAACGTTACTGTTAAAATGTCAGATTCTCCATTTCACCTGCTTTGTATGACTGGATTTATTTTTCAAGATAAATTATCCAGAGAAAATGTTCACCTCTGTACCTGGCCAGTCTAAAATAAAGTGCAACGCTGAAGTATGTTCTTGAACAAAAACGCTTATAGTCACAGGGATAACAGGCTACTGCACTACCATCCTGGGAGCAAGAGCCTTCTGCGACAGACTGCATCAAATTCAAAGCCCTTGGAGATGTCAGAAACACAGGCAGGGTCAGGAGATATCCTCATACCTGCCAAGACCAAATACTTTTAGGCTCATGCCTCAGAGGCGTAATCCACCAGTCCTTTTAAGACCAATCAAACTACAAGTCATTGCCTGTCATGAAGGCAAAGAAGAAAAATGTTTGTGTATATCTTCACTTTTGCACTCACCATGAATCATAGAATGGTTTAGGTTGGAAAGGACCTTGAAGATCACTGAGTTCCAACCTCCCTGCCATAGGCAGGGACACCTCCCACTAGACCAGGTTGCCCAAGGCCACATCCAGCCTGGTCTTGAACACCTGAAGGTTAGTAGCAAGATATGTTTCAGCCTGCCTGATAGACCACTGTAATGGGGACCCTCTAGGCTTGAGATGTCTTATCTTCATTTTGATGACGGACAATAGTATCCTTTCATGGTAGACTTTATAAGTCAACTTCCCTTGGTGATACACAATCTGACATGGAGTTGGCCAGCTCATGGCAGCTATGGAGTCCTGAATCCTGCTTTCGCAAATGTCCAAAGTAGATAGATCTGAAGTTTAAGTTTTGAGTCTTTCTAATTTTAATTTCGAAAGAATGTCAGAGCTTACTTGAATGCCAATCAGAGAATGGAATTCAAGCTTCTCAAGCTGCTTAAGTACAAAAAGTGCTACTTCAGTAGGGTAGCTGATTGGGACTAAAACAGCACTGGGCATCCTCTTCTTTGTACATCCCTTGGCAGAGAACTGAAAAGGCAAAATGCTAATGAATTTCAGAAATACTGTGAAGAGAAAAACCTCTCTTATCTCAAGTGACAAATAATAAAGAACATTGTATTTACGTGAATGTGGACTTGACTTTGTAAAGAGACCAGTAAATTCAAAGCAGTAAATATCCTTAGGAATGGAAGACATGCAATATTGTTAATGGAATAGTTGTTATTTGAATATTAAGAGACATTAAACACATGTCTATAAGCAAACAATCCTGAAATGCGATGCAATGGTTTAACGGATAAAATAAGACAGCAAACGCTTCCTAGACACCAAGGTATCCAGACTTCAGAGAGTCCACAGTGAGCAATCAACCAAACACAGTTGTCGAGCTACAGCACTGTCAAAAGCACCAATGACAAAATAAAACCTGAACATTAAGGTTCATCTGCAAACCTTGATGACAACAGAAAGTGACACAGTTTTAAGTTACCTTTTTCTGCATAGTTTTTCAAGTTATTTAAGGAAGTGATACAGTGAAGTAATATTACTTCTGTCATGCATTACGTTACTGTGTGCACAGGTGTGTTTTTAAGTTTAAATAGTGTGTTTGTAAGAGATTTCCTAAATTATGCTGCAAATACTGAAACCTTCCTCACCTGAAGAGTTTAAGACTTTATTTACTCTTAAAATGAAGTAGTTCCCAGTGTGCACAGTCACACCAATCCAGAGAAGGGAAATAATAAGGAACATGTAGTGATATTAATAGAACTTTCTATGTATAGGACAATTAAGCCCTTGATTTAAAAATAAATAGTGCAAAAAGTACTGCTGTAGTCTTTGGGGAGGGAGGGTAAGGAGGGCAGGAGCGGTTGCAGGGGGCACAGGGAGGATTACTAGGGACTTGTCATAAAGTCTGAGTCTGTAAATATGGTGATCAGGTGACTGAACTATATCTGGAACACCTCAAAATTCAGCAAAAATGCATTTATTACAGACCTCAATTCTGAATATTAAAGACAATATGAAATCATATTGTTAAAGGACGTTGCAGCAGTAATGATCACAGCACTCATGGAATACAGCAAGAGAACTAACAGCTTACATTTGTTACAAATCAATTTGAATAATCTGCAATTGGCTGTAAATTAGGGAAACTAAATCAAAGGCTTATTTTGATAAAACACTAAGTGAAAATGTTTTGCAAAGACTTTTCAAGGTTTTTCATGTTACTCAATTTTTAAAAATGAACTGTAAAAAAAAGCTGAAATTTGCTTTTGTACAAAACCCAAATGATTGGAAGTAAGACATTTACAGACAGAATTTAGTCAAGGCTAATGCACTGGAAGGGCATAATTACAGGAATACCTCCCCACAAAGCAGTGCTAGCCAAGCCCTGACATCTATGATTCAACAGGATTTGTTTCAGGTATGCATAAGTTTCAGAAATTCAAGTAGATTTAATCTCATTAAAATATTTTCTAATTTAAAATATAATTAAAGGAAGTTTACCACAGTTTTTGTAATGGAAGTATTTCTTTCACTTTATTTTAAAGTTTTCATTATTTCATAAGGACACTTAAATTAAATTAAAGGAAAATTATGTAAATTCTCTTACAGTTTATCAATTTAAATGGTCTGTTCTGAACTGTTATTTCATCAAGAAAGAGTTCTAGAGACAACCTGAAATTATTTTTGGCATGGAAATAGGAAACTTCAGATGCTTTTCCAAGCTTACACTTGTGCCGGAATTGTAAAAATTTAAGAATTTAATTGGTTTCAAGCATTGAGAAGAGTTTTTAGCATGACAGCTCAAGACTTCAAAGCTCTTGAAAGAGAAAATTATAGCTATCACGTGTGAGTGTCCTTGAAGCTGGCCACTGTTTTCACCAAGATGAAAAGTTTAGAGCCACCTCCACAGAACAACACCGCACTGTTTGATACAAACTAGAGAAATGCTTTTAAAAAATTATTTTATCAATAACGTTAAGTTCATTACATAAACATGAAAAAAGTCTCTAATAAAACCTAGGGAAAAAGACTACCATTGGTATATTTTTGGACACTGACAACAAAACACCGACTTCTGAGATTTTTCACAGGACTTCAAAGCTACTACTTAAACTAATGTTTAAGTTTGAAGTTGACAAGTACAGGATACAAGGTACGTACATGAAAAGATAAGTAGAGTATAAACCATTTATATCTATCTTTAGTGGTTTATAAGGGTCACCTGTGTAACAGAAACGGTTAATTACATCAAATATATAGTAGAAAGAAAATGTACTGCTAGGAACATATTTCTTAAGAATTTTCCATCAAATTATTAATGCCTCATTAAGACAACTCGATAAGGGAGTTTTTTTGTATTTGCAATTATACTAAAAAAATATCTAAGTACATTCCGAATTTTGCAAATTGTTGTAGTTCATCCAGATCCTGGCTCTTGTGATTTCAATACAAAGTCAGAATATGTGCCATATGTGGTGTTTTCAAGTTTGGCCCGGAATAATAAGGCTTGCTAAGCCTGAAAACTTCACCTGCCCTTATAAGGAAATCAGTGATGAAGAAAAGTAAATGAAGTAACCCTGGTTATATTAAGATTAACGAACCCAGTAAAATGGGACAAGAACAACGCTCCATCACACACAGTAACCAAATTCATGATCATTCATTGCAGTGCAATTAGTATTAAAAGGAAAAAACCAAAAACCTCACAAAAATTCCAAATCAAAAGACATTACCATCACATGAAATGTCCAGCTGCACCTTTAAAATGTTTACTTTTAGTGTCATATGTGAATTTGTAGCATACATTTAAATAAAAAACTGCGAAATATTTTCATTTACTCAAACATTATTCAGGAATAGCAAATGAGGATTGTTCAAATAATTCCTATTTTAAATATCTGTACATTCCTATGAACAATGGTTTGCAAACATCAAAATCCTCTTAGTGGGAGAAAAAGCCATTGATCATAAGAAAGTTTTTGACAAATTTAGTAGGATAACTAGAAAATATTTGATAGTCCAGACTGCCTCATTGTTTGAGAATTCTATTATCGAGAACAATAGAAATACAAGTAGGAATGTTTGGTTTTCAAACAGCGAGGGTTTTCTTCCTTGATGCTTGAACAAAAGGCAATAAAAATTTATGATGTCTTGATTTGCGAATTAGAAAGAAAAACATTTTTAAGATTGGTATATTCAAAACTATTTCTAATGCAAGATGTGAAGTCGACAAAAATTTTGGATGAGTCAATTCCTTTGCTAATTGCCCAAATTGAAGCTTAAATTATCATAGTCTATAAAGACTTCTATTGTAGCTAACAATTTATTCTTAGAAGCCATGTCTGTCAATTCTGTGTATGAAGATACCTCACAGCAAAAAACCCCACAACTCTCACCTCATGAAGCAGTATGTATTCATCAAACATTCAAGAATGACATACTTACACAATTGATTTTTCAAGTCTGCTCCCCTGTGATCCAACTATTTCTCCCAGTGTACAAAACATTTGTCCCAAAAAATCCTGAAAAGCAGTAAAATAAAATCTCAGAATTCATATTTCAAATTTGGTTTCCCATTTATCTGGGCCATTCACTACTGTAGAACACATTCTGATGAGCATTGCATCTTAATAATAATTATGCAATAATGAACCATAAACCAGACTCACTAGTACATATTCTGCATAGCACTGGGTCACATTTGCAGAATTAATTCTAATGCGCTCCACCTACTGTTTTTATAATGTCTTTTTCACCAACAAAAATGAAACAGAGATGGAAAAATTTAAAAGCATTAGGAACATGACTGTTTCTTTACCTTCTTTAACTTTGATGAATTTCTCTTTTTATGAAGAGATTCTACACTGATTCCATTAATTTCTTGGAAGTCAGTTATGTTGGCAGCAATGCAAGCCTGTGCAGGATCTGTAAGAGCATCCTGAATTGACAATTACACACGAGCATTGCTTTAATGACAGACTCTATTTTTGTGCTTAATAATTTAAGTATATCACTAAAAATCAGCAAATTTTCATATTATATCTCCCTGTAACATATAGTATAAAAATATGAATAGAAATTGTTGTATGTATATTGAAAAAAAATTTATGCTGCAGTTCAACTCCTTATATTGCAAGTGAAAAGGGCGTGCTAGCTCTGCTCTTCCCAGCATCACTGGCAGTTAGTGGTAACAGAAGATCGTGAGATTTGTTCACAAACAGTAATAGGAATTGAGACACTATAATTCCTATACATCAATCCGTAACTTTATGATACTGTGTATAGTAGCGAATATCTGTACAAGTCGTTCTGACTCTTCTCTCAGTCCAGGCTACTCATTTCCACCTCTGAGCTGTGGCAGTTATGGGTCCATACAGTGAATTGGATCTGAGAACTAATGCTATTGAAGAGGAAAATAACCCTGCAAAAAATACATGTTTGAACTATGTCCTTTAACTGATCTGACATTGTGACACTGTTTCAATAAAGTTTAAGTCTTTTAAAATGGCTAAAATCCACCTGAAAATATGCAGCTCCTCATTCATTTTTAAAAACATCAGGCACAACATACTCTAAAATAACACCGTTTTCTACACTTAATGTATTCCACAATTTTCTTCTTTTTTTTTGGTGGAGTTTCTCTTATTAATTCCTATTAGTTCCACAGTCGGTTATTAATGACAACTGTTCATTACTCTGTTGTTTTTTCTTAAATCAGGAAGTTACCACGAACACAAGTCTAATTTCAGGTAGCCAGTTTTATAAACATTATTACAGACAGCTGCAGTGACAGCGCTGTCTACTCTGGTTACTTCATACATCCATTATAAAACTTGCTTCATTTGCTTCTCATTTTGCCAAAACTGAGTCACTGAAATTGAAGTTCTTCAGGTTGACTCTTTTTTCATCCCCCAAACTGTTCAACTACTAAATGACACTGCCTAGTATTTCCAAGGGATGGGTCAACAGCTTTTTTTAGGACCAGGGAAGATCTTATTCCACACGAGGTGATTGCAGCCCATGAGCAGTCTACCTATGCAAATACTACTGGCCTAACACTTTTCAGAAACACCAAGCTCCCTGTGTATAGATATGAGCAAAGCTCTGCTCACTTTCTATCTACTCACTGCCCAAATTCTTAAGAGTTATGGGAAAGAGACGCAGGAACCTGGCAGCAAAAGGAACAATCCAGACCACCCTTGAGCACTTGGGAAATGACAGAAATGAACTGCTGTGGCTAAGAAACACATTTCTAGCTACCATCTTTCACAGGGTTCTCAGAGCTGTCTTGTTCTTCATGTGCAGCGTTTGAATGTCTTCAGCAAAGATACCAAGTCTACACCAACTTGTACAGATTTCCTTTAAAAGACAATGGAGGGAAACAGGTATGTCTGATATTAATGTTAATGTCTAAAGAATAAAGCTTCCCTCCACAACTGAAGATTCCAGGAAACGGGCGCTATTTAAAAAACAGGACCTAATGCGTTCAAGTATGCTTAGCCTGTACCAATTAGAATGTGACAGGCACATATGTAATTCAAGATCTACTTGAATAGTCTTCAGAGGAACATTGGTTTGTTTTCTCATTGTTTTGTCCTTTTTTTTCCATGGGCCCAGCAGGATACTAAAACCTTCAACTCTTGTTCCAGTAATCAAAGAATGTAATCTATGCTATATAGTTGTGTATATCTTTGCACTTCCATAGTGTGTCTTATCTTTTTTCTTAAAACTTAATTATAAGGGTTTGGTACAAAAAAAGTGTGTTTTGGGAAGAAAGAAAAGAATTCAGACAAACTAGTTACTACAGAAGTGCAAACAATCTTGGGCAGAAGTCCAGGATGAGCCTTTACCCTTGTTGAAGACACTACAGGGAAGACTTTTATTTTCTGCATCCTCCTAGCTAGCATTGCAGCTATTCAGACCATCTTTCCATGATGAGAGAGATGGAAAACAGTTTGCCAGGGCCTTTAAATCTTTGCAGGGAGGATCTAACTGGAGATCGATGGCTAAAAGTCTTATCTTTTCACTGTGAAGCACACACACCATTCCTTCCATTATTCTCTTTTCCTTTGCTCCAGGTTCTTAAAGGTTCTCTTACCAAAGCCTTCCTGTATTTAATTTTTTTAAAAAAAAAAAACAAACCCAAACACTCAGAACCCTCTGAATTCTACTCTTGCATCACTAAATTTTTAAGTTACTATTTCATCCTTTCCATTTCAAGATGACATGAGCATAAAAGGTTTCTACTAATATTAATTGGGACATAAGCAAAACATGTTTACAATTTTTAGGACCTAGAGAAGTACCAACAAAATGCAGCATATCACATATCTGACAAGGTATATAAATGTGCTTAAATATGCCCTTCACAAGGGGAATGTCCCATTAAAATTACATTCACAAGTGTGGGAAACTTCTTGGAAAACAACAGACACGTACTGAAGGTCAACATGAAGGAGGAAATCATGCGCTGACACTGAAACTACTGCTACTCCCCAACAGATGTGGAATGTGTATTAATTAAAAGACTGACTTGGCAGAAATAGTAACAAAGTGTAGATAATAAGTTACAGCTGCATTTAATCAATAATAGTTTGTGTGTATAAGTCTAGAAACCAATGAGCACAAGCCGCAGAGCTAGCCCACGTTATAGTAAAAAGTATATAATGGCTTAAGTATTTTAATAAAGTGGCTTCAGCATTGATCATATTGGTCTGCGTCTGGGTCCGTCCGCACACAAGCAGTATATATGTTATTAACCACAGCGCAATCACTGGATTTGTCTCTATGCATCTGGTATTACTTACAGTCAAAAGAAAGTAAACATATCTAGGAAAGTGTAAGCATTTCAGCACAAGAAAGTATAATAGCAAGGAAAAACTTACATGTTTTGATAGGTTCGGACTCTTAGAGTCAACATCATAGCTTTAATAAAAAAAAAAAGGAAAGTTTTATCAGAGTTGCAACATGACAGATCTGAGGACAGTGTAAAGAAAGAAAATAATAAATCAAACAATTCTTTCACCTATTTCAATGTATGAAATTTACACAAACAGATATGTGAAGTTCCATCAGTAAGAAAGGCAAATTGAATCATCACAGGTTATAAGATTATGGTTCACTAGCTATTTGAATAATTAGTTTTCAACAAAGTACAGGCTACTAAGAGAAATTATTCTGATATTCCTGTTCAAACAATGAAAGCTGCCAAAAACCAGAACAAAAATTCAAAACTAATCTTAGAAAACAAACTTGTGAATTATTTTCTTAGGTAATCTTTCTGTCATTTGATTAATTAAATAGAAATAACTGACAATAAACTAAATAGCTTTTAGCAAGAGTTTGACTTGTTCTTTTCAGTTTATCATAATCTTGTTCCTCCTCCAGCCAGAAATGCCATTGTTTCCCTTCCGTTATCAAGTCAGATTTCAAAAAAATTACTCTGTGAAATTCTTGGGGGATTACTCACCTCTCTACTTTCATAGTCTTCCATCTTTATCAGATAATCCACAGTAATAATTTTATCAGATCCTACCATACTGTCTAGTGAAATTTAACAGAAATAAACTACTGGTAATTTGACCTGAGGGCTAGCTGTGCAACTAAAACAAAGAACTACTTCACTGGTAAAATCAGTAACAAATCATCAAATATGAACAGGAAGGGTCCTGAGACACTGGTGGCTATACAGTTTAGGAGGGGGATAATGCTCATTTATCAGAACACCAAAAATCAGAGATATACTCACCACTTCCTTTTTGTTGAAAAAAATATGAATCATATAAGGAGTTTCTTTCTCTGAAAAAATAACACTACTGGCCAACAGTAGTACACCATTTCACTGAGGAACTTAAAAAAGGAAGCTTTCTAAAGATTCTTCTTTCCCAATCTACAATGGAGTTTTAATCCATAAGTAGCTATATGAGATTCACATTTTGAACTCTGAGTTCTACAATATTTCATTTCTTATCTATCATTGCTATAGTGCTCTAAAGTAAATTCACTTGCAGGCAAACATTAAAAACAGTTATTCAGCTTTGAGTTCAGAATACGCTTTTGTCCAGGTGATGCAGAACGGCAGTAGAAAGCAGTCAGGCCTTTCTGATAAGTACAGAGTGTGTTTGATATTTACAGCTTTTCATAAATAAACAAACAGGAGTCCATTTTTTAAGTACACAAAGAATCAAACAGCAGATACTTTTCCCTTCCAGGTCCACGTGCTTTTCAGATACCACTTATCCAGAAGTTCTTTACAGACTTTCCTTTCTTTGCCTAGACTGAGCCTAGCTTTCTCTTTCTTGGTTCACTTCTTCACCTCTTCGCTTCTATTGCACTGCCTCCCCGCCATAACATACAGGCATCCTATGAGGAGCAAGAAGCAACCAAATCAAGATTCCTGCACAGCCTCAACTGTGCCTTTATTTCACCAATGCTTTACCTACTCTCAGAGGAGAATCCTTTATTTCACAAAGTGATTACCTCTTACTTAATGTTATTTTAAATAGCAGGCAACAGTTACACTCAGCAGATTTAATGGCATTAAACCCAACTTCTAAAACAAAAAAATAAAGTCTGCACCAGGCTTCCACGGTGAAGAGGAAAGAATTTGTACCTAGCCTTCTAGAAGCAACCTGTAATCTATCTTGGCATTGAGTATTTCCTTTCAGTCCTTGAAATAGTTGATGTCTAGATGGAAACAGCTAGCTGCTATCTGTGTATTGAACACAGTGGAACTTTTTTCCTCAATCATCCCTCCAAAATTTCTCATTAACTTAGAAAGCATTCTGACATGCTCTAAAAAAACAATTACAGCTAAAGAAAAATTAGACATGGGGGTTTTTTTGTTTCCACAACACAGGAAATGCTGCCACTCAAGAGCATTTCAGTACACTATCCTGGCAACTTATAACAAAATCAGCAAAACTACATGTAATGTTGCTAACACACATATATCAGGCATCATACTTTTTCTTCCCCTGCTATGGGAAAAATCATCACTAATGCGATCACTGTCACATTTACTTTATTCCCTGCTTAACGTAGAGATTGATTTGCATTCCAGAAACTCAAGGCAGGAGGGAAGATCAAGAGACTGTCAGAGTCACTTAGAAGCAACTACTTGGACAAGTAAATGGCACATTGAGACTAAAGCCTAGAAGATTTAAAAATGGCTTTACCATGAACTTGCTGGGAGATTTTAGGCAAATTACGAAGTCTTTCCTCATCTGTTTTGCTGTCTACAAGATGGAAATGCAATAAATGCAATTTCTGTATCAAGGCAAATTGCAACGTAACTTTAAATTGGGAAGCGATAATACTACAACTTATCACTACTATAATCAACACCTGAGTAGGATTTGTCACAATTCCATAAAGCGTATCAGGAGACCTAAATCTTTAGGATTATATCTTTCTTGATATATTTATCTGGTAAGTAACTTAAAAGATGATTCTTTTCATAAACTAAAAGAAATAGACATGAAGGCAGAAATCTTAAGAACACAAAATAAGAATCACAAAACTCAACTTAAAGTACATCTTGCAAAGGAAACTAAAAGAAATAAGAACAGGGTTCAACTAAAAAGGACATGTAAAGTTGTGGCCACTATACATACTATACTGCAAAACTGAGTGAATGGATTTCCTTTAATTATCTAAGCAGGTTATTCAACTGCTCTCTATAGGGCAAGGTTAGGAAGAACAGCTAATAAGAAAGAGGACTGTTAACTTTGAATTAAACTAACAAGACTGAAATAATAAGAATGGGGTGAAACGTAACAGAAGACATGCAAGTTGACCTGGTGCCTGGACTCTCAATTCTATTTTCCAAAGAATGAATTGCAAATCAAACCAATTCCACCAGTGGAATGAAATGAGTACATCTGGAATAATGTCAAAAGTCACCTACTTCTAGAAAAACTGCCTTCACTTTAAAATCTTAAAAATTAGAATACTTAGATGCATACTGATATTTATTTTAGTAAAGAAAATTTTGGTTCTGTACTACTTGTACAACATTTTATTCCTCGACAGTATGTCCATACCTGTTTTATTGGCTATGCTGCAAGAATATGTTAACGTTCTGGCATCCTTAGCTTTCTAACTATTTTTGAAAAGTAATGATTGTGAGTATGATTGTACTTGGACTAGTTAACACCTGCTAATTTCTTAAAAGTCAGTCATTACATTACGCGTTTATTTCTGAAGCAGCAATGCTAAATCAATCATGTTTATTAATGTATTCCATTTCAATAAATACTATATCATTTCAAGTTAATTTTATGCTGGAAAAAACTTAGTATGTTTACAGAAACTGCAATATTAGAGTCAAAGATTGTAAACTTACAAATCAAATCGCAGATTCTCTCTTTCTTCAAAGAAGTAGTCCATTATAAATTTTCTTACAAAATCTGGATTTAAAGTATTATCAATTACTTCTGTTCTTCCAAACTGTAAAAGAAAAGTGTAAGTTTAAGCCACGTGCTATAACAAAGTATAATTAAGTAGACAGACTGCCAATACCAGCAATATGTGAGGTATGAGAGAGCCTGTAACAAATTCTCTTAAACAGATGCCATAAAAGAAAATGACTGTGTTCACATGTATAGATCAGTTATCTGTGGAGGAAGAAAGACTGGCAGAAGACCTCACATTTCAATATTAAGAGTGGTGCACACCCTGTATCGTATGACCTAAACTTTATAAACATCAGCTCCCAAAGCCAATCAGAATCCACAAAAATTAGGCAAAGAAATTCAGTAACAAAAAAATCCACTGTTTCCTCAAGAAATGATAACAGCAAGCAAAAGCTTGCATGTATTGCTTATTTCAGACAGCTTTAAATATTAGAGAACACAGTCCTTCCATTAGAAGTGTATCATTTTTGCATTATCCAGCTCCCATTTCACCACAATTCAGTTCTCTCTTCATCTCTTCTCTCTCTGAGCTTTCTGCAAAATGCTTTTTCTTTCTTGGTGTTTACAGGAAGAGCCTCAGCTCTCACCAAGCTCAAAATATTATTATTTAAAAAAAACAAACAACAAAACACCCAACTTTTGATTGACCTCAGTTCATATACACCACATATATAAATGACTGATCATAAAATATCAATTTGATAATTTTGTTCTTGTTTTAGCTGTTCTTTCAAGATACTCAGAAAACAAACCAAAAAAGAATGAATTATTATTTAAATGAGTATTTAATTTTGTCCTACATATTGAACATATCAAGACATATTTGAATATAGTCTACTGAAAAGCTTTTTGACAGTCTGCTGAAAGATCATCATTAAGGAGTCCTCAAAACTGCAATTTGTGACTGAGACTTTTGAATGACTCAAAGACTGCCAACCTCTTCATTGACAGGACTTAACTAAATCAATAAACATGGATAAAGAAAGAATAAACCTTCTTGTAACTGAAGGTTTTTGAGATGTATTTCCTAAAAGTGTTTTCACATTATGAATGTGAATCTAACCACTATAACCAGCACAGAGCCACTCAGCCTCCAACAGGAGCCTCCCTATCCTGGCCCCAGCAGACTTAACATACATGTGGTATGAAAGGACAGAGCATACTCCACTGTCTCTTCCTCTCAAAACTAAGCGACTTCCTTTTATTGCTTGATTCTTATTAAAATAAAAATGGTAAAGAACTCCAGCCACATTATTTGTGTGCTTTAAAGAAACTCCATTACTGTCAGCAACTCTTTTTTCTCCTTTGAGTGACTGTGCACGCACCAAACTGCAGGGGACTGATGCCAAGCACCATTCATTCACGCAGGTCATCTGGAGAAGTAGGCCTGTATCTAAGAGGACGACTGCTTTGCAAAAAGCAACTACCCACCCAAAGGTCTCGGGTACAATAAAACATTCAACAAAAGTTAACACATCTTCAAGACACAGCTCTATAAAGTCTCAGGAAAAAGAACAATCCTCAGAAGTGACACAGTGGTGATTTGCGTCTTTACAGAGTGTGCTTGAATCCTGTTAGGTACCTTCACTTTCGCTATGCTGTGAGATGTCCAGTTGGGACAGTATTATTCAGAGATCTCCACATTCCAGCACTTCCTATAAAAGACAGAGAAGCAAAACTATCTTCCCAATGAACGATACCATCTCCAAATAAAAAGGTAAAGAATATTTAACATATAGTGTAAATCAGCATGGCTCCTTTGCCAAGACTTTACATCGTTTCTTAAAACCCAGGTGGAATGATTCCCTGGCCTTGTTGGAACCTTGATACCCCCTACAAGGAGGCTTCTGAATACGTCCTAAGGCACAAACTGTTTAGAAAGCAAGTTTTCTCATTAGCCATCACTGTATTTCTGCAGCTCTCCTAAGCCAAAGCAATAGCTACGGAGGGGGTCAGCACTATACAGACATGGGCAAGAGAAATCTCCAGAAGCTCTCCAGGCTGATGAAGATACTGGATATTCAAAATAAAATCCCTGAGTCTCTTAAGAGAGGACTAGCACAGGATGCACATGGTCCTGGAAACAGATCAGAACATGAACAAATAGTTTGATCCTTACTCTTTGTTTTGGATGAAAAAAGTCAGCCTCTTGAGAAATGATTCAAAGTATTCTCTGAAACATTGGGATAAAGTTCGACAGGCAGAGTGCTGTAAAACACACTCTCTTGAACCACCACTGGTGACTACTATGGCCAAGTACTAATCAATGAGAAATGGCAGCAATGGTAGAAAGATATCATTCCTACGGGAATAAGTACAGCTGGAATATTTGCCAGTATTCTTTCCCCTCTGAACAGCAGAATTCAGATTTTATGTACTTTCAAAGTCTCCAATCAGTTTTCAGGTCAAACCAATCTCAATGTTTATAAATAAAACCTTCCCTGTCAGCTGCATGCTTTACAACATTCAACAATATTGGAGCCAAGAAAAACTGAAAGCTGGAATGGCTAATGAAATGAAATATGCAGCAATATCTACACATTTAGTACTGTTTGGAAGTATGCACTGAAAATGAGAAGCCGCTCTCTGACACAAGCCAGTAAACAGCAGTTTATCAGACCAGGGATGAGAAATGAAAACAATGGGGTCATAAGGACCATCCATTTTGCAGTTCTGACAGGAATATATCTCATCTGTGTATTTTTTCTCCCCTCAAGCATCTTATTTCTTCCATTTGCACTCTTACAGCAAACTGTCCAAACTCTCTCAAAGACCGGAATCAGATGCATAACGAGGAGATTTACCCTTAATACTGAAATCTGACCTACTCTAGAAGGAAAGGACTCTGGGCCTTCAAAAAGATGATCTAACCATGACCGCATTGTAACTGGCGAAGCTACCAGAGACAGAGCACGTAAGCAAAGAACGCAACATATTAAGTTCATGCTGTGTCCAACAGAATCAGACACACATACTCAAAGATATCCATGAAAATATCTCCCAGCCTGTGCAGATTCAAGGAGCAAATTGTCCTGGGAGACTCCTTAATCACCAGGCAGGAAAAGAAAAGTTACTGAAGTTCTTGAAATCCTCATATTAGGACAAGATTGAAGCAGATTAAGAGGATCTTCAATCATACAAAACCTACACTTCTATGAACATGAAAGACACAGAGAAACAAAGAACACGGGGAACTGTAGTCTAAAAAAGTTTACTTTCTGCTGACAAAGTCATCATCTAAATTGAAAGGCACAAACCCAGAATAACTAAGCGACTTCAGAGGATAACTTGTCAAAAGAGTCCATTTAGGGGCACTCTCTTGACAAACCTCTGGCTTGACACCTTCATAAATAGATCGTTTTCTGACAGCATGGTTCTTCTTGAAATAGTAATGCCAGTTTGCACAACAGGAGAATATAGTTGACTTTGGAAAAGCCATTCAGAGGAAAAGAAAATTAACAGCTAAGGAAAACGAGCAGCAATCATAGAATACCTGAGGTTGGAAGGGGCCTCGGGAGATTGTCCAGTTCCACCTTCCTGCTCAAAGCAGGATAAGCTAGAGAAGGTTGTCCCATCAGGTTTTGAGTATGTCCAAGGACAGAGACTCTACAACCTCTCTGGGCAACCTGTTCCAGTATAAAATCACCTTCACAGTAATAAGGTGGGATTTTTTTCTTATGTTTAAATAGCATCTTCTGTGTTTCAATTTGAACCCATTGACTCTCGTCCTGCCACTGAATACAGCTGAGAATAGTTCATCTCTGCCTTCTTTACAGACTCCCATCAGGTATTTATAAACACTGACAAAATGTAAGCCTCCTCTTCTCCAGGGTGAGCAATCCCAGCTCTCTTGCCCTCTCCTCATATGAAAGATGCTCCAATCCCTTTAACATACTAGTGCCCCCGTGCCAGCCCCATTCTAGTGTGTCTGTATCTTTCTCATACAGGGAGCTCAACAGTGGATACAGCACTCCAGCTATGGTCTCGCTGGTGCTGAGGGCAAGGATCACCCCTTGACCTGTTGGCAATGCTGTCCCTAGCGCAGCACAGGATGGTGGGCTTGCACACTCAAAAAACCTCTCAATTTAACTCAGATGGAAGGTACTAAGGGACTGGGGGTGGGAAAACTTCTACAAGAGCATGAAAAAGCAAGATACTGACACAGAGCTAGGTAGAGGAAAGCACTGTTTCCCTTTGTTCCTACGTACCCTAAAATCATTGTGACTGGAGGCAGACACAGACACTCACCTCCGACAAAAAACCCAGCTTATTTATACAGCCTTTTGGACTCTCTCACGAAGTCCAACAAAGACAAATTCAGTCCTATACTGATACTGGTGACTGAGTACTGGGGTATGAACTGTGCAGAAGAGGTCCTGGTGCAGCCATGAGGGTTTAACAACACATTGGGTTGTATTAGGGTCAGCACAGCCTCTGTTCAACACCCCTCTAGTCAACACATGTGGTAACTGGGTACAGTTTGGGGCTCTAAATACAACTGAATCAACAGACTGGAGGCAGTTCAAGTTAAATGGACCCTAAAAAAAAAACCCAATCAGAAGGCCAGAACACACAATTTAAAAGCCGATGGAGCTTGGAGAAGGGAAGATCTATTTCCACTACCATCCTCTACCACCTAAACAGCGTTATAGAAGACAAAGCCAGACAGCTGATAGCACAACAAAAGGATGAGATGCAATACTCAAAAGTTGCAACAAACAAAATTATGAGTGGATATAAGAAAACAGCCTTCCAGAATGAGTGATTAAGCACTGGAATGGGTCACACTGGAGAGTTGTGCAGTCTCTGACATTACAGGATTTCAAACCTTAGCTGGGAAAGGCCCTGAGCAACCTGCCCTAGCTTTGAAGGTGGCTTTGCATGGATCAGGAGAATGAACCAGACACAGCAGATGAACAGGAAGCTGGATAACACAAAGGTTCATTTCACCTAATTTATTCGATGATTATGTCATATTTCATACCTTGAGTTTTCAAGTTTTATGGTTCCATTAGAAATAGAACTATGTATGAA